CAATCCCACGAACCACGAACCGTCGTGCATCCGATCCTCGCCTCTTGTCTTTCATTATTACTATTATTATTATTGTTATTACTGTTATCGTCCTCGTTCAACGGCGATACTCGAATCTGTGATAATTCTCTCTCTCTCTCTCTCTGTCTGTCTCGTACTCGACTACACGTAATTTCGAGAGATCGAGAAAAAAGTATTGTTGTTAGCTGGTGGAGGGGCGCGTCGCTGATTCGCGAAAATATCGTGGGATTATATGGCGCAGCAAAGCGTGTAGAAAGCTTTACGGGCGCAATATGGAACGGAAAGGAACCGCTTCTTGAGATATCGATCGCGTCTCGATAGTTGCCGTAGACTTCTTCTAAACGCTGTTTACAAATGGGCCGTCGTCGTCTGGGCGGACGGAACGCGAGATTCGCGATCGACAAAGCGTCGGAAACGAAGCAAGTCGTCCTTCCGATTTTGGACGTCCGCCAGTTAGGCGGATAGACAAGACGATCGGAACGAGTGACGTCTCGCGGTAGACTGTAGAAGTTGCGAGTCACGTGAGCGAGTTCGCGCAGCTGTTGCAGATAAGAGCCTCTCACTGGCCCGGAGTGAATATTCTCTTTCGAAAAATTACGTTTATCGATGCGGTTGACCTCCTCCCTCTCGTACATATCGTTCTTTAATTTCCAATTCCGAAATTCGAAATCATCCTTCGAAGCTCCCTCTCCCTGGTAATTATTACGAGTTTGATGAACGCGACGGCGCCTCGAATTGTATTTCCTCCTATATAACGACCGTGGTCACCTTTCCTTCCTCCATGTAACGCGATCTATTTATTCGTAGATGGGAAATATCCGCGGTCGTTCGTACAATACGAGCCAGAACTTGGACTCCCTTTGGTGGCCTGGGACCTTTCGAAGGTAGAGAGAGAAAGAAAGAGAGAAAGAGAGAGAGAGGTAGGTCGGCTGTTTCGTTTCGAAGAAGAGGAAACTGAGGAGTGGAAAGTGGTGGTGGGGAGGGAGGCGCGAAGGGAGAGAGGTGGCGTATAACGGGGGCGCGAGCGTGCGATTATCATAACAAGGCTCGTATTTGGAGACAAGATGCCTCGCGACCCTATCGGCCGTACGCATCGGGCAGACGCGACACGCATTTAATCGCCGTACGTGCCTCGTTGCTTGCTACTTACACCGCTGTACATGCATACCTATAAGCGCACCGTTTAGGATCCGCATTGTCATGTTAACGACTTGATGCCGATCCCATTAGGGCGCCTCGCCTCGTATTCGGGACCCAAGGCCCCTCCCGCCAACCTTCCCTCCCCTCTTCTAGCGTCTATATTTTTCATTTCCAAGAGAGTATTATGAGCCGTACGTAAGTGCCTTATTTTTAAGTCTATATATGCGAGAAGCCATATTCGAGAATCGAAATTTGAATTTTTCTTTCTCTGTGCACGTGGAAGGTATCGAAAATCGCAATTTTTGAATTTTTATGTATTCTCAAGAACGATTTACGTTTCTCCCTCTGCGTGACGATCACCATATGTGAAAGTCGAAATTTTGAATTTTCCACGCGTCGTGAAGTGTATTCGTCTTACGTTTCTTCCTCTGCGCGACGATCACCATATGTGAAAGTCGAAATTTTGAATTTTCCACGCGTCGTGAAGTGTATTCGTCTTACGTTTCTTCCTCTGCGCGACGATCACCATATGTGAAAGTCGAAATTTTGAATTTTCCACGCGTCGTAAAGGGGATTCATCTTACGTTTCCTCCTCTATGCACGTGCAAGCTATCGAGAATCGAAATTTTTGAATTTTCACGTGTTCTCAAGAGCGATCGCCTTATGTTTCTTCTTCTGTGCAATGTAAATTATACAACGAGGCTACCGACAATCGAAATTTTGAATTTTCACGTTTCGTGAAGAGTATTCGCGACGATCACCATCGAGAATCGAAATTTTTAATTTCTACGTTTCGCCCTACGTTTTTTTCTCTGCGCGTAGAAGGCATCGAGAAATTTCTAATTTTCACGCAGTTTCTTCTTCCGTGCAAGCGTGAAAACTATCCGAAATCGAAATTTTCACGCATCCTGAATAACGACCGCCTTACGTTTCTTCCTCCACTTATGTACAAGTTATCGAGAATCGAATCTTGAATCGTGAAGAGTATTCGTCTTACGTTTTTTTTTCTGCGCATACGAAAAATCGATACTTTTGAATTTGCACGCGTCGTGAAGAGTATTCGTCTTACGTTTCTTCCTCTGCGCGACGATCACCATATGTGAAAGTTGAAAATTTGAA